GCGGCCTGCGCCTGCGCGTGCGCGTGCGCGGGGCGGGAGGAGCGGCCGGCCCGGAACTGACGCGGCGCGTTCTCTAAACCGCTGCTTTCACGCCGTGGCGCCGCCCGGACCGCCGGCCTCTGAAAGTGCAGAAAACACTGTTATTGGGTGTTTTCCTTCTTCCTGCAGGAAATGTATTTAGGTTTCTCTGATTTGTAAAATCCTTGGTGAAAATTTCAAAGTGGAACACTGGAAATTTCTTACCCAGGAAGTTTAAAACTTTTCCTCTTGTTTATTGACTCCCAAGTAGTTGACTGGTATCTCCAGTGTTTGGAGATACATATTTGTATCATCTATCCCAAGCCAACTCTCCGGCTGATGTGAGTCCCACTGTATTTTTATGAAGTTCTTCGCCTTCCGTAGGGCCCGCTAGCAGTTACGATCTCATTTCAGTCTTTGTGTGAAGGTGTCAAGTAGGTGGTTGTATCACATAAAATTCTATGCAAATGACAGAATAATTTATTAATTAGAAACCGTTCTTGATTTGTGGCGGTCGGCCTGGCAGCCGCAGATGTACTTTTGAAGACGGGCCGTCACTATTGAGTGAGGCACACGCCCTTTTGTGTGCACCTTGTGGGCGTTTTGCACCGTCCTCGGGCTTGCTTTCATGGGCGAGATGGACTTGCAGCGTTTCTCCGGAGCGGCCGCGGAGGGCCGAGGCGGGCAGGGGAAACGGCTAAGTAAAAATACATAAAAGAGTAATAAAAGTAAGAATGCTTTGACCTAGTAGTGAGATTTGGTTGATGACATTGATTTATATGTTTAGTTGTTTATTTTTTGGTACAAAAGTGCTCTGTTTTGTAGGACTAATTATTTTTTGCCTCAGATGACTTCCTCCCCTTCCCCCTCCAAGCAGTTTTTAGAAATCTACTTCAGCGGCTTTCTAAACTGAGGTCTTCCTCTTACCCAACCTCCATCCACTGTAAGGAGGGCTTCTGCTTTACTCATCCGTTAGACAAAGACCAACAGTGATTCAGAGGTGAATAAGACTTTCCTACACAAAAGAACCTTATATTCCAAAGAAGGAAGATTATACGTATCCCAACTACAATATAAAGCAGAATATGCAATGATAAATGAAATAGAATAAATACAGCAAGCAGTTGTAGAGGACAGAGAATTATGACAGTATTTAAAGACACTTATTTTCAAAGTAGCCTAATACAGTCAGTATCTCTTTACATATATTTGTACTATGAGTACAACATAATAATGCGAAATTACTTTTATGCATAAGTTACTGAGATGAACTTTTGATACTTTAGATATATGGGGGGCCTGTTTACAGAATCAGTTATAAGTAAAATGGAATGAGAAATCATTATATGATACATTTTTACATGGTAGACTTCATTTAAAAAGTTATTGTATTTAAAATTGAAAATATTAGAAAGTCTTTGGAATTTTTTAACAGTGACATCTTTTTATATATTTGGTATAGCTACGTAATTTTGACCCTCAAAGTCTAAATTATGCACACTTTCTTTAACTTTCAAGTAAAGTATAAGCATTTCTTTAGAATTTAGGACTGCGCCTTAAGAAAACTGGAGAAAACAGAGTATTACAATCTTGGGTACCAATCACTGCTTTATGCAATATTTGTTTTATTACGTTCATAAACTTTGTAGAAAAACAGTTGACTGAAGTATTGTGGATACTCTCCTTGACAGTTTGGCCTTTCGGAGATAAAATGTGAGGGGAAGAGGAAATGTAAACCAACATAGTTTTTTAGAGAAGGTGTTCATTATTGTCATTTTCCTCATTTCAGTTTGGCAAAAGACTGTTGAAATACTGTTTTATCATGTGATCAACAATACTGAGGAAAAAACAGCGTTTTGGGTAAAATATTTTAAGAAAATTGTCCTTAATTGGAAAAGAGTTTGTGATTTGAATAATCACAACAATAATGTTATTTGTTTTGTTTTGTCTTGGTTTGTTTTTTTCCGATACAGGGAATCGAACTCACGACCTTGTGCTTGCCGAGCAGGCGCTGTGCCGCTGAGCTAAATCCCCACCCCAATAATGTTATTTGTGTAAAACATTTTGAAGAGTTATACAGATTTATACAGTTTATTTTCTTTTAGAAAGTTTGATATTAAACGCTTAACATTTCATAAGGATTAAAAAGAAAATGCACCTTTTTAAACAAAGGATTATAAAAAGAAAAATTCTGGGTCATTTCTCAGGTAAAAGGAAGTGTATAGTGTGGTATGATGTGAAATCGATACAGCACAAGTCATTATGGCTCAAATTAGAAATGAAATGAACGAATGGTTTTGTTGTTTTCCCACATTCTTTAGGTAACTTAATTGTAATGTGAAATGTGAACATAAAAAAAAGTTACTGGAATTTAGCATTAATGATAGAATATTTATCTTCAAACTGAGATTATTATTTTTATATCTTACCTAAATCTGCCCATTGGTGTCACTGTGAAAAAACAAAACCTTCATTTAGATAACAGTAAAACGGGGGAGACATTTTGAGAAAATCCCAAACCACCATAATGGGTCAAGTTGTGCACACTTTTCAGTAATAACAGACTTTCCTCCTCTGATTCCTTATACTACTATTCATACAGTATATGTGTTTGTGACCCTGAAATGACATAAAAAACAGAATTTTCTCACTATTCCAGCACCTGCAAATTCTGGATGACCTTTTAAATTTGAGCTGTTAATGAAAATGTTTTAGTGTGACTAAATATCACTAATATAGTATTAGTGAGTGAGTCCTTTGTCCAGCATTATTTCTGAAAGGAGAGTACCGGGTTCAGGGAAGTTTTGCTAGTATTTGAATCTTTTTTATTTTCGCTTCTGCAGAACAAAAAGAGAGTGAATGTGACTCATGCCAGCGTGGACGAGAAGAGCCAGTCTCCAAATCCAGTCACCCTTTTCTGGGGTCATCTCCTAAGCCTGAGGGTGTCGTTGGGAAGCAGAATCTCAGGTCGTCTCTTTCAGAACACTCGAGTCGGCCTGACAGTGTCCCGTCTCCATACCCTGGAGAGCAGTCAGGGGGCGAAGACAGCCCCAGGTCCTTGTCATCCTCGGATTTGGAGTCGGGAAATGAGAGTGAGTGGACCAAGGACTGCGTGGCTACCAGAGTCCGCTTTCCCACAGTGTCCTCACGGCCAAGAGACCCTCTTGATATTCTTACCAAGATTTTTCCAAGCTACAGGCGTAGCCAGCTAGACGGCATTCTGCAGTTCTGCAAAGGAGATGTGGTCCAAGCCATTGAACAGGTCTTAAGTGGGAAAGAGCACGAGCCAGACGCTGGGGACCTGGTACACTCGGAAGATTTGGAAAATGCAGCCTTTCGGAGAGCTTCGAATTTCAGTCTGGCTGGAATCGGTTTTGGAACTCTTGGTAACAAATCAGCTTTTTCTCCTCTTCAGACCACACCCGTTTCTTACAAAGGTGACTCAAGTCTCTACAGCTTACATCCTAGACTAGCTATTAGTCCATTGCGGTTGGCATATTCTCCAGGAAGAGGGCTAACAGGTTTTATGTCGCCGTACCTGACCCCTGGGTTGGTTCCAGCATTGCCTTTTCGGCCAGCTTTGGATTATGCCTTTTCAGAGATTATTAGGGAGTCGTCCTACCTTCCTCCCAGTAAAAACTCGCTAACTGGCTGTAGACCACTTAGCAGACCCACTCAGGGCAACGTGTGATGTATCTGCCCATTTTCCGTTTCATTAGTGTTTCTAGAATCGTACAATGCACACCACACATCTCGTAATATATGTCAGAAAGTATACTTCGCTCGCCTTTGGGAAGTACCCTTTTCCACATACGTGAGTGAAATATTAGGCCTTAAAAATTCTGTTTCTTTTAACAAGCAATATAAAAAACTTTAGGTTTGAAGCTGCTTGCATTTATTAAGTGAAAGGAGCATTTGAACATTATATGTGCCTTGAATAAAGCTGTTGTAGGAAAAAATCTTACTTTTTGGCTTAAATTATCATCTATAAAGTTCCTATTTTAAAACTATCCTTTTTATTTTAGTGCAAAGTGGAGCTTATAGCTATAACAAGTTTATGGTTGTGAAAGAGTAATCCAGCATAATATAAAATGAACCAAGAGGAAAAAGTAAAAATATGAAGAAATTCTAAGTAATGATTTTCTAAAATTTTTTCTTTTCTATTGCTATTCACAGAACAAAAAAAGTTACCAAAATATTTTGTTTTCAGACAAGTAATCAGTAGTAAATAAAAATTTTGAGAAATTAGAAATTCTAATTTTTTGGAATGTTTTATTTTTTACTCTTAGCGACCATTTGCAAAAGCCAATGTCAAGTTTTTAAAATTCTGTTTAAAGTTAGCATTGTGAATTTCACAGAAGCCCATTAAGTAAATCTTAGGAAATGAGACTGCTCCATCTTCTGGCCACTATCACTAATTGCACCTCATCCCCAGAGAATTAGATACACATTGTTTTCTAAAAGTGTAAACTAACCATTTTGGAAATGATCATTTTGAGTCATTTTGCATTAAAATTTTCATACTGTAAACTGCGTTTCTCTTGTGGATGATTTTACTGTTTAGTGTGCTTGTTCCTGTGTCTGGGGAAGTATCCTTTCCGTATACGTTTGGGCCAAGAATAGGGCACCCATTCCAGAAGTAAAGATAATTTTGTTCAAAAACTGCCTGCCCAGACAAATACTGATTGATTCTCTATAGGCGATGCTAAATGCATTAAGGGCAGCTAAGATTTCCATAGGGGAAAATTGCCATTAAAATTTAGAGGTTTTCTTGAGGTCTTAAAATTGCATTTTGTTCCCCATCTGGAGCCCTTGAAAGCTGTTTATTTCAGTCAGTGGAAAGTCCCTGAGGAAACTGCTTACGAAACAGTTTCATGAAGTTTTCTTTATGTGTCATCATTTTTGTAAAAGATAGTAACTTCATTGTTATTGTTAGGAATAAATGAAAACCCAGCTGTGGTATGAATTACAGATACTTTAAACAATTTGAGCAGCATGAGTCACTAAAAATTTCCTTAATTATATCTATATTCATACATATACATATATGTATATATATATATATATATATATATACACATCTATATATAGATATACACTAAACTTACCAGTTTTATCACTATGAAGTCCTTATGGTAAAGCCAATAGGAATATACATCTAATATTTTACCAGCAAATAAATTACTACGCAGTATCTGATGTGGCTTTAGAATGCAAATATGTTTAATGATTATACATTAATTTCAGTTGTGTGAATATGAGAAAGAAGATGCATTCACTACTCATATAAAGCGTTTTATTATTAGAGTCAGCCTGAATCGTCCTACAGTGGCTGGCAAATAGTTGATACTCAATTAATATATACTAAATGAAGTTTTTGGATAATTAATCTCTTTGAGACTTCGATAACACCAAAGCACTCCGCAAAATGACCTACAGATGTACACTTTTGTGTACAATTTAGTGGGATCCATGTTAGAATCCTTCATGATTGTTTTCCGTTACATTAATTTATTTATTAAATGCCATTTTTTGAAATGCACTAGGTCTTATAGAGAACATCAAGTAGAAATGTTTTTGCTCTAAAAGAAGTTACAGTGTACAATAGAGATCTGGGTTAAAAACAGCTCTAGAATTGGTGGGTACTTCTGTGATTTATGTAATGATGTGCATGTATTCATTGGGGATATCGAATTGCTTTTGATCTAAGATGAACAGTCATTTGGGGGAGTGTGCAAATGTTAAGCAAAATTTAATAAATCTTAGATGTTAGTTTATATAATACTTTTCTATACCCCTTATAATACCTTCAGGATTTAAATAATCTTACAGATCATTTGTCCAACCAGTAAATAAAATGTGAGGAAACTGAAACCCAGCAGTGGTATTGTGCAGGCACAAGGTTAATTCTATGAATCATCCGAAGAAATTTTTCTTACTTCAGCAGTTTCAGATTATTAGATCTGAGGTATTCGTGTATGTTTTGTTTCTTCAGGCTTTGTAGTGTGTCTGACCAATAATAGGTGTTCAAATAATATTATTTTCTGACTGACGTAAAGGTCAAACAAAGTAATGTATAAGGGATTAACTCATTGAACACCTACCTATTAAAGTGCCTAATTTCTGTATGCACTGCACTGTATAGAAAGAGATGAGACAAAGTTCAAGACCTAGCCTCAAGCTGCTCACAGTCTGTATCCATGTATGCAAAAAGCAACCAGCTAACCAGTGTTGGCACCATTGAACAATACTGGTATTGTAGTGAGTTCTTCGTACAGTGAGTTCTCGACGTTTATGCCCACGGATGCTGCTTGGAGACTGAAATCTTAAGCCACTAAGGAGGTGGAGAGGAAGAGGAGCACAGGTCATAAGCTGTACTGTATATGATCTACGTGAACTGGGTTTACTCCATATAGAATCACCATGGACAGATGATTCAGAACCAAAAAAAACATTTTCTTCATGCTGAACAACTGGCCAATAGTGGACTGGCTGCCTTCTATGTTAATTCATCCTCTTATTGAAAATATCATGTAGAAAATACCAGCTAGAGACCTGATTGATAGGACTTTCTTTGCTTCAGTGTTGGTATAGAATCATTTATAAACTAATCAGAAATGTAAATATTTGCTAAATAAATGAATGAATATGTTTCAATTCTAAGACCATACAAATGAAAATAGCCATTATTTGTCAGTAAAACACTGTCATTTTGCTCAGCCAAACTTTGCCTATGTTGTAATCTCCTGGGAGAAGGGAAAGGAAGAAAGCGCATGGTTTACAAGGTTTTAACCTGCTAAAGGTTAGTGTGAGGTGCACAGACATAAGGAAAACGGTCTCCAAGAGGACATGGAAGGGAGGTGAAGATAAACTAATGAAGTTTCTACGATGTACACACCAACGTATCTTCCTAGAAAGAACACTTATTTTGGAGTTGAGTTGGAGGATGGATTCAGCATTACAATTTGGGCAGGTTCTGTCCAGTATCTGGACATTCATTTCTTCTCAGTAAAACAAGGAAAATACCTAACGTGCAAGATGCATGAAGATAGAAGGTAACTCAGGTAAAATGCAGAGTACAATAATGCTTCTGTACTGGGTGCGAAATACATAACTGGCTGTTACTACTTTGTATAAAGGTAGTGTCTTTGTCCCCTCGTGGCTGTTTCTCAGCAGGGAGTACTGTAATGCCATTTAATCCACTTAGTGGATGTAGAACCCAGGGGACCGTTATTACCTGAACATCCAGGCTAAGTACCAGGCTTCCTGTTAGGTTGTTCGTTTCATAAATGAGCCACGCTTTCATACCACACCATTGCATACGTGTTTTGGAGTCTTTCAAGGGCTCTGTGAAGAAAGTGGGTATTAAAACCACAATTTTGTGTTCCTGCTTCATTTATCAGTCAGGGTTAGTATATGTGGAAATAAAGGAGGTCAAGAAATACGGTCTCACACAAGCAGAAGAGCAGGGAAACAAAGAGTCTGGTAGAGGAAAACTGGGAGATCTGAGTGTCATGAACTAATCTGTTTAAATCAAGAGTAGGTGGACAAGTGAGCACTTTCAGGAAGTTGGCAAAGACCAGTATGTCCGGTCACTCGGATTGTTCCCACATGCGTGGGAGGAGTGAGGAAGCTGGTGGGAAGCCAGTGTTTGCAGAGCTCTGAGCTCTGTGGCTGTGGAGGAGGAACCTCATGGTGGGTCAACAAGGGCAGCAGGAGGCCAGCTGGATGTGCAGAAGGAAAAGAGAAGGCAGCCTGGAGATCAGAGTACCTACCTTGCTCACTTCTGGTTTGCATATACCTGGAAGATCTCATCTTAGTTTCTTCTTGAGCCAACAACTATTCCTCTGAACAATACAGGGCATAGAATTTTGGGAAATGTAGCTCGCAGTCTAAGCAAACTAACTTAACTATAACCCAGTACACTATAGTTCTTGTTAGTTCAGCTCACCTACTTATATATATTAACTAGTTTACTTCCAAATAAGGGCAAAACCAAATAATCTAAAATTGCTGTAGCTAGTCTTTGTACACCAAAAACGTGCTAATCCACTCCTGAAGTGGACGCACCAAGTGATTTATGCAGTTTTGGGTGGTGCTCCTTCATCTTTCTTTTTTTGGTTTTTCTCCGGTACGGGGAACCAAACTCACGACCTTGAGCTTGCCAGGCAGGCGCTTTTGCAGCTGAGCTAAATCCCCAGCCCTTGTTCATCTTCCAACTAGGGAAGTCTTCCTTTCAACATCTTTTAAGTTTAATCATGATATAGAGTTAACCACAACTAGTAAGCCTGTTGTCATAGGAGGGAATTACAGAAGGGAAAAATTGCTATGTACAGATGATTGCTGATTACAATAGGTTTACTTGTAATCCCTTATTACAATAGGTTTTTGACTTTATGGTGGGGAAAAGTGACAGGCATGCAATAGAAGCCCTAGTTTGGGTAAGTACTTAGATACTGGGAAATAGCAGAGAGCCTCATTTCTCAGTGAACCACAAAATCATGTGTGTAAGGCACAGATACTCTACCAGATACTATTTTGGCAAGCTATGAGGTTTGGTAGGTTATATGTTAAATATGTTTTGATTGCTGATGTTTTCATTTTACAGTGGGTTTGTGATAGGCTATTGTAAGTCAAGGTCATCCACACACAAATACACATACACATACACACAAATATACTTTGAAGCAAAGAAGACACTCATCTACCAGAGCACTCATGCTTGGTATGGGACCATAACTTGTTACAGGATCACAGATAGTATCTACAACTTTATTCTTATACCCTCCATTTTATATTTCCCTTATTCCCAGAATGTGTCTCAGTTCATTGTAGTTACTTACTGCGATGAGTGGTCCAGATCCCCATTCCTATGAGGAAGATTCTGTGCCACTAGCAGTCCCACTTCTCTTAGGTTGTTGCAGCTTTCCATTAATTTTTACTATAAAATATTGGAAGAGTCAGTGGCATTCTACAGAGAGATACTACCCTGTGCCTATTGTTTTGATGGCATCAGGTGCCCAAAATAGTGGTAGTCTTAGGGTCCAGGGCAATATTATAGTCTCATGAAATCATTTTGCCTTTGGAAAGTAATACCCATAGAAAAGCCAACAGTTGTAGAAAAAGGGAAGAGTTTTTCCTGGGGGATTATTAGGTTAATATGATAGATGCCGTT